GCAAGTTGGATTCACTCAATATTCAACAAGTTAACGATCTAGAACGCTAAGAGGACGGGCACGAGACCAACAAGCATGGTGGTCCCGTGGGTGGACGCCGACAACTCAATGCGACTGGTGGCCGGCTTGACTGTGCTGTTGTTATCAGGGCGCTCCGTCGTAGTGGGGACACGCCTGGGATACTGTACAGCTTGGCTCGGCTTGTTACATGATGCATCGAATTGGGTAGAATAACCTGTAAGATTTATTTTTGAGTATGTATAAGTTCTTGCAAGATCTATGCAATGGAAATTACTGGTTTATACTACTGTACGAAGTACTGTAGTATGTGAATTTTTCTAGCCAATGAGAGTGGACCATCTCTCCTCCCATGAAACTTGAAGCAACGAGATTCATTATGATTTCTTGGCATGGAGTACCACTATAAATACAAATTCCAAGTACAGTACATGTCCAGAGGTTCACTTTGTTACCACAGACTGGCACTCATTTTCATAAAACGAAAAAGTTTTGATCCACATTTTTTGGATTGCGAAAATATTTTGTCCGGATACGTCTCAGTTTCGGACATGGACTTTATCTTCCCCAACCAGCCCCGAAGATAAAGTCCATGTCCTAAACTGAGACGTAAATGAGTGCCAGACATGAACGGACTATCCCAGGCGTAGATGATCATCCACGCCTCAAAACTCGCATCCGTGTCTGAGTTATGCCGGAAAGCGTGAACGATTGTGTTATCCGGAAATATTGGATATTAACCAATCAAAAGCTTGGAATATCTTGAAATATGGACAGAAATATTCCGCGACCCGACCAGCCCACACACGTAGAATTCCCTCATTAACTGTAAAACAGTTCCACTGTTGTTTTGACCCGAAATACTGTTTCGATTAGTTATATGGAACTTTGTATGCTCAGAGCACCTCACTTCTTACTAGGGGTTAAGCATCGTATGTACTCACCGGTGGTAGGGACGGAGTCCCAGGTTGGCGAAAAGGAGTATCCGGACGAAATAATTCCCTCATTGAAACACAGTATTTCGGGTCAAAACAACAGCGGAACTGTTTTAATGAGGGAATTATTCGCCCGCACACCCGTAGGCTTCTAAAGGGTATCTATACGTGCAGGAAAGGGATTTGGAAGCTTACAGTTAGTGTATGTCAATGCCGCCAAATTCATCGGGTACACGGAATTATGGAGTGTTTTAACTAGCCAATCAAAGAGGAGATCGTTCTCGCTCTTATCCACCAATCAGAAGGAAAAACACGAAAATTTAGAGAAATTCTGCCAATTAAGAATTGAAGGTCACAACATTTTTACTTCGAAGCAGATCAGATTATGTAGTGTATGAAGTGTTAACTATATACCGGTAGTACGGTATATATACTGTATGCGATCAATTGCTTAGCAATTTCAGTCATCCTAACAGTAAACGCTGGCCATCAAATATGGTTGTGGTGGTGTTGCACTCCAGAGTACAGTACGCCGTTTCAGCTTTGGCTTCATGGATAATCGATTCCAAACTGCCACCTTTGGTCGTCTTGCTGGACATTGTAGCGTTTTCGCAATGTTCAAGTGCTCGAATACAGTACCAACTTCTACCACTCACGAAAACCAACCACTATACCGGTAAGTTAGTATGATAGGGCAGTCTAAATGTCTGTTGCCTTCGTTTTCCACCTCGGCTTTACCGCGTGAGCGTACAGTATGCAGGTCTCATTTCCTTCCCTCTACCGGTATACTGTATGTGTCCAACCTACATTATTGTCTTGCCTTGCGCCCTTCTGGGCAAGGAAAGATACATATATGGGCAGCTTTGAGTTCAGGGGCGAAGCTTCAAGTTTTATCCGACGGCGGCAACCATATCTCCGCTGCGAAGTTACATGTCCAAATCTTAGCCACCAGCCCGACGGCGTCAGATTGAGCCAATCACATCGCGGGATTTCCGACCTTTGTCAATAATTATAAGTATGCAACCGCCCACCTAAACTTACATTATCCCATCAACTGTCGGACAAAAAACGTCTGTTCTTGATATCGGAATCGGAACCTACATCGAACTTGTTCATTTTCGTAATTCCACACGACGACCACAATCCCACTACTAACGTCATGGTGTCGAACGCTTTTGTGACCACAACGCTGCTGCTGGCACTGGCGGCAACTACTGTCCACGCCGACGACGCTGTAGGAACAATCCCCGACGACTGCGGGGTCGTGCTAGGCAAGGACGACATCTACGACCAGAAGCTGCACATCGCGGCGATCTTTATCGTGTTTGGCGTGTCCATCTTTGGCAGTTTCCTGCCCGTCGTGAGCTCGTACGTGTCGTGCCTTCGCAACAGCCAAAAGCTCTTGTCCCTGCTCAACTCGTTCGGGTTCGGGGTCGTCATTGCGACTGCGTTCATCCACATGATCCCCGCGGCCATGGAAACGTTGGGGAACCCGTGCTTGAACATGGGATACCCTGGACTAGCCATGGTCATAGTGGTCGGCACCGTCTTTGCCATGCAAGCGCTCGAAACGGAACTCGTGCTCATGCTCACCAACACCGACAAACCCGGCATTAACTCGGCCGACACGTCGATCGAGACCGCCGCCGTCGTCGTCTCGTCGCCCGTCGCCGGCGACTACCATCAGCATCACCACCACCACAGCCACGGCGGCGGAGAACACGACCTCAAATCCAGCGACACCCGCAAGAAGATCAACGTGCTGATCTTTGAAATCGGCGTTGCCATCCACTCGGTGATCATTGGGCTCAACTTGGGCGTAGCCACGGGCGACGGGTTCACGACGCTGCTCGTGGCCATTTGCTTCCACCAGTTCTTTGAGGGTGTCGCTGTCGGTTCGTCCGCGGTGACCGCCTTCTCGAACGTCCGCACGTCCATCGTCACAGCCGTCGCGTACTCGCTCACGACGCCCCTGGGTATTGCCATTGGGATTGCAGTCAACACCTCGTACAGCGAAACGTCTTTGACGTCGTTGTGGGTGCGCGGTGTCTTGGATGCCGTCGCGGGGGGCATCTTGGTGTACACTGGGATTGTGGAATTGCTCACGTATCAGTACACGATCAGCCACGAGTTCCACGCCAAGTCGGGGGGCCTCCGATCTCTCCACTACCTCTTCTTGTGGCTCGGCGCTGGGGCCATGGCTATCATTGGCAAGTGGGCTTAAGTTTAGAAAAGGAAACATAGAAAAACGTACAGTATTTAGATGCTATACTGGAAGCAGCAATCAATCTCGCGATGAGTTGTTCACAAGGCGTACCAAATGATTTTGAATTCAAGGCGATATATCCTGATATTAAGGAAACCAACGGTGTTTTCCCTTGGGTTTGAGCTAAAGAATCCCAACCATCGTCTATTGAGAGTACATGTACTACAAGTGCCGAGGCTATGTATGCCGATTCTTCTCGTAGCTATCATGGCCTTGTGGAGCGTTTTACTCACATTGACTACTGTAGGTTTAAATGCTCATCGAAGTGCTGGTTGTGTGTGTCCAGTTGAATACCATACCACTGACTGCCATGTCGTACATCCCCCCTCACTACTTTGTACGATTTAGGTATGGTTGGGGTGCTTGTTAAAGAGTAAGGTTGGTCTACTGTAGTACATATATTGGCAGAGTACGTGTAGTACTCTACTGTGGAGGGGCACACTATAGGTTTTCGACTTGATCAAATTCATGCAAGGGAAAAGTCTTAACTCCACCTACTGTAGCTAGGCTTCTTGGTGTCAATAGCAAGCCCATGAGCTACAGTAACCCAGCGACTGCGAAACGAACGGGTCAATCTGGTAGATCATACATTGTACTACGAGAGTATGTACTCTCGACTAAAC